TTATTTGTTATATTTTTATTATTCATTATTTTCACTTGACTCGCATAAATAATTTTGTTCGAAGAACATTTTATGCAATTGTACTTCGCAGCACTTCACTTGCAATTTGCAATTTCTAGTTTTAAAAATTAGACAGCGACGTTCTCTAAGATCAGAAGTTGTTGATGACCTTTTGACCTGAATTCTGCAATATGAGATTTTCGGGTCGATTCAGTCGAGACGACCCGAGTGGAGTTTGATGTAAATGTTTCGTACGGAAAAAAAATCGCTTCCCCAGCACCATGTTTCCTCGCACGTTTGGACACTCAATGTTCAATGTACGAAAAAGTCACAATGTTCGGACTCCCTTCAATAATAACCTATGCCCTTTGTCCTAACTTTCTTTTAAACCTTAATCTAATCTCGTCCGGTATTGTGATAAAAGGCCTACGGGTCCAATAATAATAATAAACATAATTTTCAATCTACATAATTATAAATTAATTAATTTGTTTATTTTATTATGATGCGCTTGTTTAAATTTTGTTGAAAAAGCGATTTGATATGTTTACAAAGAGCTCAGTAGGCCAATGCCAATCAGATGTAAACAATTATATACTAAGCTTCCGCTAAAGCTTGTGCTAAATAATCACATGACATTGATATGAAAAAGATTGAGTTTATCATACTTTGTTAATTGAACTAAGGAGGTGTTATTAGGTGTTTAACAGGGTCAAATGTTTTCTCATCAGCTTTAGACCAATACATAACTTACAACGGAATAAGTGTTACGTAAACCATGGTAAGTTGGCAGTAGGCCTAGCTAGTAAATTTTGATTAAGTTCGGTGCTCGAAAATTACTCCACTGCTAGAAACTTTGTTTGGATGGTGATAGTATTAGTAGGTACTCAGCAGGATTCTCGGCATACTTGGTAGTGGGGTATCTGCCACTCTATTTCTATGTATATATTCTTAACAACGCCTGCTGAGCACATAAATTAATCAATTGGATGGATAAATACTTTAGGCTGCATTTTTATTTGATTATTTTTTAGATATTTCAAACAAGGCTGTGATCCATTTCATTTCTTATTCATAATAATAAGACTCAGACTGCGATTTCCCCGTATTTTATATACTTTTGTTTTTGAATATTTTTGTGGGGTTTAATGTTTAATTGTTATCGCTTTTTTGAACATCATGGCAACTCCGTAACAAAGTATTCTGTAAATGCTTGAATAGGCACCGCTCATGAATAAGCGCCTCACCAAGCCTGATTATTTTTTTTTGCTAAGTGCCACTCTCAAATAAGAGTATAAATTACCCTGTTTGTAATAAATACTTTGAGAAACACGGTTTTAAATGTAATGTATACAGTGTTGAAATGGATAATTAACAATGAAGACACAAGCATTCCTTTATGAATGTTTATTTACAATGATGTAGCCGACCTATGATAGGCCTACGGAACTACGTGAGATAGGTAACATGTAGCGGGCACAGAAGCCACGCCAGTGTTTGTATATAAGAGCAGCTTTCGCATTACCGCCACTCTCGAATAAACGCTGCACTGAAGCCTCCAAAAATTGTATATAAGCATTATAAGTTATTCAAACATTTACGGTAGGTGACCATATTTTTGAGAATCATGAAGACAACAGTTTTTATACCTTGTTTTTTCAACCCACTCTCCGCCAATAACGATGGTTTCAAATGAAAATATAATTAAATTTTTCGCCTTTTTTAGAACATTCCCTGCAGCAGTAAATTGAAACTTCGAGAAAAAAATTATTTTTTATTTTTTTTTTATCATGCCTGCTGCTACCCTTTCTCATAATTTGATAAATTTGAATTTGTTTTCCATTTAATTATAGAACTGTCTACATCACAACATTTCAGACTTCCAAATTAACATGATAGTATCTCGAGCGTGTCTAACCGCACCCTCTACAACCAACTAATTTTTACGATATGCATTTACAATTGTTCCAACTCTTCCGATTCGATCAGGAGTCTCCCAACTTTCATACAATCTACCATTCTCTCTAAATTTTGTGTAATTCCTCAGAATTTTTAGAAAAGATCTCCACAATAAAAAAAACTGATAATTTAGTAGGTTTTTATTACCATAACTGAATATTTCCATGTGTGGTTATACATATTTAGATTAATTTAAATTTGTGTTAGATTTCTTGTAAAATGTCATATTTGGTATAGATTTTATGACCGCATGATTGAATTTCTGCTGGTAGTAATAATCACAACTTAGCTTATGTCCTGCCATCCACACTACGTATACTGTAGGCTAAAACACTATTAGCATAAAAAAGAAAAATAGCTGGTAGTTAAACTCAGTGTGTGTTGCAGTGTCAGTGTTTTCAGTCGTTCACTGTTCACTGCATTTATTTCTTCAGAACGTTATAATATGACTGAGTTACAAAATGGAAATGGACAAGAGTTCCATTCAGTAGTGAGTATTATAATTTGAATAAGTACTTGGTTAAATTTTTATCATTAACATCCAGTTTATGATTTCATGGTAGTTGGTATCGAGAATAAAATGCATGAGCATTTAGCAGGCATGAGACTTGTGTGGGGATTCTTCTGTCTAGGGAATTTAGCGGCATATAATTATTATTTCTTACCTCTATCAATGTAGAGTAGATTCTCAGAAGAGTGTTCATCTATTACATATCTTTTTTTTTTAACGTTAAAAATGCTGTCAAAAATTTGCATTTCTTAAAGGATACAGTAAATACGTAAATTTTAGACCCCCAGCTATATAAGAACATGACGTTATAAGAACGTTATAATAATGTTACAGTTATGTGTTAAAAACATTATTTTGTAGAACCGTAAGTATGTACTTAAAACCTAATTTCACAACATCATAACGTTTGAACGTTACTGCAAACATTATAAGAACATTTTGTGTTTGCTGGGCCATTGGAACAGTAATGGTAACCATGTTAGTGTAAATCATAAATCAGTAAATAGATGACAAACTAGACTTTACAGACTGATAAATTTTATTTTTAGACAAGCTTTCAAATGCACATGCAAAATAGAACTTGAGGCACTGTTCAAAACCAGTATTGGATTTTCTCCTGGTGTACAGGTACTTTACCATGATTCATGCTTTTATTAACATTTTTATTGGTTTTTATCAATAATATGTGACAAGGTAGAATATAGTAAATTTCCATATGTTATCAAAGTTTATGGTTGCCTCAAAAAATGTAAAAAAATCAGATATATCCTATATATGATATTTATGTTTTTACTATAAACTTTTGCGATAATTTCAACATCAAACAATCGTTTCAAGGTCGTATCGTACCTGGTTGTGTAACTACTAAATGTCAATCTTTCTATTGGTTGATATCACTTGATATGAGAAAATACCATCTTTGATCACAGTATTTAACATGCAAACATGCCATGCTTTTTATCTCATTCAGAGGATATGATATCATCACACTACATGGCCACGCTCACTAATTCCCCTTTTTCACACATAAACATGCAAAACAGTGTACAGTACCATATATTCCGATGGCGTTATTTTATGTGAGGAGAATTAATAATACAAATAAATATGATGTTTGTCCTACCAGACGTTTTTTCGTACTGACTCTTTACTACTTCCAAAATGTGCAGTTATAGTAAATTTTTAAAAATTTGCTTTGATTCCACAAAATGTATTTTCAATTCAAATCAATTTAATGGATATCACTTTCGTAACAATGGCTCACGTTGGACAATACCCAACGGTGCATCAAAATATAAGAAAAAATAAACTTAAACTAGGAGTAAATTAAACTAAAATGTATATTATGCAAAGTAAAATTTATCAGGCATGTAGGCCTATGTGGTACGGTAGTCTTACAGTGCCGTATTATTTACAGAGTTGCAGTATGAATTGTAAGTTAATATACAGCTAGAACTAATAGACCAAATATGGGTTCATATTTACTATGTAGACCAAGATTATGTTTAGGCCTTGTACTGTAATGTTCACTATTTATTTTATTTTTTCATATATTTCCCTTTAAAATAGGATAAATTTTAACATTAACAATGAAGAAAAATAAATATAATTGGATCCATAAACTACTGTACCCAACTTTGCTTAAATGTAATTTAAAATTCATAGGTGCTACATAGTTACTTTAGTAAGCAAGGCCTATTTTTAGTAACTGTTGAATAAAAAGAATTCAAGTTGGAGGCGTGGTTGTCGAAAGATCATATTGTTCGACTGTCATCAGGTTGCTAAAAATAGACTAAAGTAACTATTCTTAGATGCAAGTAAATAGTGCACACCAGACATTGCAAACAGGACATGCGATAGCATTTTGTTGGAATACTGTAGGCAGTGACCACTGATACACTGTTGTTATTTATTTAATTTTTTTCCCTAGGTCTACACTTTTCCATATTATTTCCTGACCTTAAATTTCCACCTTTAAGTTCGCTTGCAGGGGCCTCCATTGAAAATAGTTTAATGTTGATATTATAATATAGATCATGCTTGTATCCATTCTTTGTGTTTTTGTTGTAGACAAATTAGTACTTTTCACTTCAAATTTAGTTAGAATTTTTAATTTTGAAATTGTAATTTACAAAATGAGTGGAAGTATATGTAATGCTTGTCTCTTGCTACGGTATGGATGTTGTTATAAACGTTTATTAATAATTCATGATTAACACAAGCCTATAATATTTACCAAAAAAAAAAACACCTGTCTTACTATCATACTGTATATTACTGCTTAGGCCTGTTGTTCATTGTAAACTTAATTTCCATTTTGACAATATTTATTTATTTATTTATGTATTTATTTCTTGTTCAACCTGGGTTAACAACTCAGTTGAAAACCAACTGTTATCCTTAGGTGCCCAGGATACGATACACAAAACAATAATCCTAATCTACTTACTTTAATAATAATAATAATAATAATAATAATTAAACTATTTTCAATGGAGGCCCCTGCAAGCGAACTTAATAAAGGTGGAAATTTAAGGTCAGGAAATAATATGGAAAGTGTAGACCTAGGGAAAAAAATTAAATAAATAACAACAGTGTATCAGTGGTCACTGCCTACAGTATTCCAACAAAATGCTATCGCATGTCCTGTTTGCAATGTCTGGTGTGCACTATTTACTTGCATCTAAGAATAGTTACTTTAGTCTATTTTTAGCAACCTGATGACAGTCGAACAATATGATCTTTCGACAACCACGCCTCCAACTTGAGTTCTTTTTATTCAACAGTTACTAAAAATAGGCCTTGCTTACTAAAGTAACTATGTAGGACCTATGAATTTTAAATTACATTTAAGCAAAGTTGGGTACAGTAGTTTATGGATCCAATTATATTTATTTTTCTTCATTGTTAATGTTAAAATTTATCCTATTTTAAAGGGAAATATATGAAAAAATAAAATAAATAATGAACATTACAGTACAAGGCCTAAACATAATCTTGGTCTACATAGTAAATATGAACCCATATTTGGTCTATTAGTTCTAGCTGTATATTAACTTACAATTCATACTGCAACTCTGTAAATAATACGGCACTGTAAGACTACCGTACCACATAGGATTAACACAAGCCTATAATATTTACCAAAAAAAAAAACACCTGTCTTCCTATCATACTGTATATTACTGCTTAGGCCTGCTGTTCATTGTAAACTTAATTTCCATTTTGACAATATTTATTTATTTATTTATGTATTTATTTCTTGTTCAACCTGGGTTAACAACTCAGTTGAAAACCAACTGTTATCCTTAGGTGCCCAGGATACGATACACAAAACAATAATCCTAATCTACTTACTTTAATAATAATAATAATAATAATAATAATAATAATAATAATAATAATAATAATAATAATAATGATAATAATATAATTCGCTAAGAACAACATTAATGACATTAATAATAATAATAATAAAGATAATAATAATAATAATAATAATAGTATTAATAATAAGAATAACAACAACAAAAACAATAATTATTATCTAATAATAATAGTATTAATAATAAGAATAACAACAACAAAAACAATAATTATTATCATTATTATTACATTAATTGGATTAAGTTAAGCCAGCAATTAAAATGCTAAGTAAATTGTTTTAACTGCCATCTAATACTGTAATTCATAAGAACACATTAACATTAATAATAATAATGATAATAACATTAATAGGATATGGATAATACTTAATATTCGTAAATGATTATGATTGTAATTTAAATGAAGAGAAATAAGTATGTAATCCAAAATCAACCCAAATAACAAAAAAAAATGGTTATAACTTGACAATTGGTATTTTCAGGTCTGTATAGTGCTTTTCTATATATTGGTTGCAGATTAGCTTGAGAAATATTAGGCGTCATGGTCGCACCTTACATAAGAATTTACATAGTTGATTACTGCCTTTAACGAATTGTGGAATGCTGTTTTAAAGAATATGTGCATTATGTTTTTTACAGATATTCAGAGAGATTTATCTCGCAATGTAAAATATTACATCATGGCATTTGAAAACATAAAAAAGCTACAATTTTTAATTTATTTGTTTAGCAAGATTGACACTTATCAATGATTTTATCTGTGATTTCCATCTTATGGCCTAGCTCTTCAATATTTATGAGTTTTTATAAAATATGGCCTGGTGATCTTGACAATGAAAATGACCAGCTCCTTCTAGATACAAAGTGAACCAACAAATATGAGGTCGTGAGAGCACCTACTAAGTCTACAGTTATTTGGATAAGTTGTTATCTACTTTATTCTTTATCTTATTGAGAGTGAATGATATTTGATTGAACACTGTGTGACCTGGTTAGATTTTGAGTCATATTGTCCAAAGTACATTTAAAAGCAAATCTTAGTCAACTTCAGTGGGTGAAAGTATCACATACCATTCAATTAATGAACCATGTAACTAATTTATCCATAGAACATAAATTAATACTAATATTCTGAATGAAGTTTAGCATTTACTGTAGATTGGTTTGTGGAAAGAGTAAGTTGATGAAGGACAAACTCAGTTATGTTGATGTAACCCTGTCAATTTTTCAACAATTTTTTGGTTGATTTTGTTAGTTTTTTATGGTTCTTGGGTAGAAAGCAGGTACAGTACTAGACTAATACTATAGTGGTACCTGCCCTAGTGAGCCTGGTCTACAGTAGTGTATAATTTGTTTTTAAACTATAACACCTTTTATAATTTAATTTTGTCAATCAATACAAAGTGAATCTGTTCTGTTATATAATCTATAGATAGGCCTACTGAATTTCATCATGAATTTTAAAACCAGGCTCTGGAGAAAAAAAACATTCTTCATATGTTTTACAACAGATTGTTTTTAAGACACAAAAAGCATATTTGATAAAAAAAACTTGGGATGGAGATACAGATTTTTGACTATAAAAAAACTGGGAAGGGGAGGGGTGGGTGGAGAGGGGCTATTCTCCACTTTACCCCCAGTTTTTAAATATTCAACAATCTGTATCTCATTAACCTCCATGGGTATAATATATTGTTTTTCCTCATTTATGATGTTTATGAATTTTTAAATATTGATACCAGATAATTATATTTTTTTTTAATGTAAACGCCATTGAAGTGTATAAATCAGTAAAGCTGGACACACACTGCGTTATCTGTCTCTTATACACATCTAGATGTGTATAAGAGACAGTATATATACTGGTATATATAATTTTTTTTCCGGAGCCTAGCTTTAATAAAAATTATAATACATTGATAATATAATGCCTGATTATCATGATGATGTCTGAATGCATTATGATGCATAATAGTGTCTGAAATGCATAATAATGTCTGAAATATGTATTATGTTGTAATATTCTACATAATTATTATTATTATTATTATTATTATTGTTATGTTACTAAAACCTGCCTTACTTAAGGGGAACTTAATAGACAATTGAGAAAGTAGAAATGCTTATTATTGTTGTTTTGATGTTGTAGTTATTGCTGGCTTTGCAGCATTGTTGTTTATAATAATAATAATAATGATAATGATAACAGACCTGTCAACCCGTACGCATTCGCCGTAAGTCTTACGCATTCCAATAAAATCTTAAGCAAACACCGGCAAAACTTATGCTTATCCTAAAAAAAGTAAATAATAAAAAGTAATGAATTTTACTATAACTAACATCCATAATCATAACATTCTACCTCCATGTTTCAATAACTACTGTATCTGAGATTATTACAAACTCACTAATATCGATAAGCCCTTGGGGGCCCCCGGCCACTGTCCGTGCCTTCGGCACTCATTATGTCTCACCCGATCTTACTCTTTGAAATTTCTCAAGGTTGACAGGTGTTTGATAATAGTAATTCTTTATTGGTCTTCATTCAAATTGGAAATGGGAAATTCAGGCTGGGCCCCCCTGGGGACATGTGGTAGCCACAGTGCAGAGCCACCCAGCTTAACTACAGTACAACACAAAATACGGATACAAACATTGTCCTTAACCCGCCTTCAAGCGATCAAACACTTCAATTGAAACCCAATGCTGGCTGGGTTTGAACCAGGGTCTTCAGCACCAGAAGCAGGAACAATTTATCTTGGCCAACTGCTCAGCTCATAAAAATTAAAGGAGCTTTATTGGGTGGCCTCTCCTTTAATGTATTTGTTGCAAAAAATTATCTCTTTTGGGAAATGATACCATTTTGATACTGACTAGAGGAATAATAAAAAATACTTCAATTGTTCAATATTATAAGTATGTACATCATTTTTAATCTAGACTGATATTTTTTTCAGTCAGCATCGGGGGAGAAGAGAGAGCATTTATACAAAGTGTTGGTGATCGGTGATTTAGGTGTCGGGAAGACGAGTGTCATTAAGCGATATGTTCATCAATTCTTTTCTCAACATTACAGAGCTACAGTATCCTTTTAGTATTGATCGATCAGTCACTCAATGTTATTTCCTACTATGAGCAGAAAAATGTATTTTAAAAAATGAACAATCTAGTGAAATAAAGTAGAAAAATAATTTTATTATTTATTATTTTGATTGTAGTTATTATCACAGTACAGTAAAGATGGCTTACAACCAGTGGCGGCACCAGGATTTCCCTGACGGATGCCAGAGTTATAACCTTTGATGTACCGAGATGTGCGTCCTTTTTTTTAATTGCCTTGCTCCGATGATCTTTAAAAAAGAAAATAAGATCGCGAAGAAAGGTATTATAAAAAATCTTGCCTAAAGCATTCCAGTACTATATTTGTAAAAGAGAATTCCATCCATGGGTATAATATATTGTTTTTCCTCATTTATGATGTTTATGAATTTTTAAATATTGATACCAGATAATTATATTTTTTTTTAATGTAAACGCCATTGAAGTGTATAAATCAGTAAAGCTGGACACACACTGCGTTATCGCGATATTTTAAAATGCAACGAGATGGCACATGCGCAAAACAGATTGTTTTTACTGAAGATCTGCTCAGACTACCTTTGATACAGTGATAATCAGCAGCAATGTCGTGTCATCAAGTACTCATAAAGAGTGGAGATGGATTTATTTTACAGATGGTCATACGACTGCTGTACAACACAATATGTACTCATCTTTAGACAACTCTTTTGTTTGACAGTCATAAGAATCAGTGCATGACAATCCTCATGGTGGTAGTAGATAAAGCTTTCCCTGTCTTTTTATTATAGCAGTATTATTTACATTTATTTAGAATAGGAATGCATATGATTCATCCCATATATGAAGTATTCTTAACCTAAATATTTAGATTGGAGTGGATTTTGCGCTTAAAGTTATCAACTGGGATGCAGACACATTGATTCGCTTACAATTATGGGATATTGCAGGTAGGGGTTTTACCACAGTTGTTTTTGAAAATAACCCATAATGCAGTGTGTTATGGAATAATGCAGGTAGGATTTTGTAACAGGTTGAATTAAAATGACCCACAATGCAATCTGTTGTAGAATAATGCAGGTATGTTTTTTAACAGAATATTGTCAAATTTCCCAAAATTCAATATGTTATTTGATATACTGAATGGAGTATTAAAAGCATTTCATTTCAAGATTTAGTGTTAGCAAGTGTTTTAATTGTTTAAAAAAAATTCAGGAAAGAGGAAAATACAAATTGTTGAAATCGACCCATTTTTCATGCAAGTCTGCAATTAAAATTTCAAGAAAGATTATCTCTCAAATCATTCTTTATTTAGTATTAAATTTAAAAAAAATGTAACATAAACCCCCCAAAATATGCAAGCCCACAATCAACACACAGATTAATTGTCAACACCATGAATATTACATACTATACATATAATACCTTTGAGTTTGACTTAAAATCCATCTGTAACATCTGTTGTAAATTATTAGCTCTCATGGCCTCCCATAGTTGTTGTTATGCAGACGATGCGGATTACAGAATATAATGTGACTCCCCTGTTACTTATTGCATTTTGTATATTTATATGTTGTTCACGATCAATGCAAGGGATATTGGTGACGAGGATTTATGAATTGCGCTACAATAAATCTATGTATCAAATCAACATATTAATTAGGATTCTACTTTTTTAGTATATCTATATCTAAAGAAAGTAGACAATAATAAACATAAAACCAGTTCAAGTATTATCTTATTTCATTGTAATCTAAAAAATTTCAAAATGTAAGCCAGAATGTAAGGGTAATGTTCTGCATTTCATCATAATTTTGAGAGTTAATAATGAACATTTTTTTTCTCAGGGCAAGAGAGGTTTGGAAACATGACTCGTGTGTATTATAAGGAGGCTGTCGGAGCATTTATAGTCTTTGACGTGACAAGAGTGTCTACATTTGAAGCTGTTGCCAAGTGGAAGAACGATTTGGATAGCAAAGTTCAACTTCCAAATGGTAGTAATATACCTGTTGTATTACTAGCAAACAAGGTTTGTCTATTAAATTTGTACTGTATCAGTTTATAGTTTAGTTTATTAGGATATATGCTTTTGAAACAGCGGCACCAGGGCCTGATCAAGTATGCACGTGCCCCCTCCGTTTCGCCACTCATTTTTAAACTTCAATGCATATATTGAAATTAGCACTAATTAGCGTTACTCACTTATCTGTTCTTAGTATTGTGCCTTGCCCCCCTCCCCCTTTTTTTTTTTAAATTGTGGATCTGCTCCTACCTACAGGTAGTGCATCCTTGATACAATATGACAGTTTTTTCATCCAAGTTACATACACCGGTCCATATCAAGACTTAGGTAAAAATAATGAGTTATCAAAATACACAAAAATAAACACACTTGAGTAAATACCAATGGATATAGACTTGCCACAAGTCTCTAATTTATGTCAAGAAACTTGTTATGTTGTTAAATTTGGAAGCGAATATGTAATATGGAATGCCAGTGGTGCCAATATCGATTTATTTTTAAGCATTTTCACTGATTAAAACAAAGTTGAGGGACTGGAACCCAGTCTACTATGGGTACTAAACACAACCAAAGGAACCAAACGAATCTGATGAGTAGATTTAAAACATGTTAGAAAAGAGTTTTTTTAAATTAAAAAAAAAGTAAAATATATAAAAAAAAGAATTATAATAGTAAAAAATGAAAATAATAGCAATGAAATCATTTGTAACGTAGAGAGAAATCGCTACACATTTCAGTGCAATCGTTGTACTGTGTACCAGCCCCTGATGCAATCGGGAAGGCTCAATCAGGATCAACGAAAGCTGTTGTCGATAGGGTGTAGCGATTTTATGGAAACCGAGCATTACAAATGTGAAGCAGAACAATGTCTTATCCATGCCCTGGTACAAAATCAGGTTTAAATCTTCTTTATGAGATATTTTAAATTAGCAATTAAAAATATAGGTCAACTTTAATAGTAGTGGTATAGATCATATGAAAAAATACTGATTGAAGTTTAGAAATTATGTTTTTTATGTATCCTATTAGTTTTAATTATTTGTATCGTCAAAGTTTATATTGTAAATTTGTTATTAAGGGGAAGTAAATGGACTGGAATTTTATGTTCAAAATCTGTCAATGTGTTCTTGTTCGTGCCCTTGGATAAGACACTTGGCAATAATTAGTTATCCTTCAGAGTATAAAGTTGTTGGTCCAGGGTACATTAGCAGCTCAAAAACAAATTTGGTACACTATTTAAAAATACCAACATTTGCGGTTCCCCAGAGACATAATCCAAATTTCCTTGTTGATATACCCTGCAAAATTATACATTTACGCTGTGTTGATATGGTGTTTATAATAATAATAATTATAATAATAATATTAATAATAATATTAATAATAATAATAATATTAATAATAATACAAAAATAATAATTGCATCTCTAATGTGCTGATTCAATATTACTATGATTAAATTAATATTATTGCCCCGGTCTTTTAATTCTTCCAAAAATTTTACGAAGGTTCTATAGTTGCAGCCATATTCAGCGTTTTTAGCATGCAACTCAATTAGGTACACATTAAAGCAATACTTATAAAGTGCCTTGCCGCTAAAGGGCACAAACAAAAGCAACCAGCCTCAGATGCAGAGCCAATGCCCCGCTGTCCTTCCGATACTAATAGTATTAAGTTTGTCCTTTAATCTATGATTTAATTATCATCCAAGTTAGGTCTATAAATTTATGAATGCAGTATGAACAAATTCCATTATTATTCATAATTTATATTTTTGTATTTTTTATTCCATAAGAGTTCTGCTTAACATGACCCAGGTCAAGTTGAGCAAATTAGTTTCACCTCTATTATAATTAATGTGTTTTATTTACATGTTTAAAATAATTATAATCACGCACAATTCAGGTTTGATGTTTAAATTGTATTGCCATTGTTAAAAATTAAACAAGGAACTCATACACCTTAATTCCTGTATGCGACAACGAAACCTTAGTTCAAACTATCTTCACGAGTACTGTGCAAAAACCAACCTTTACTATTGCAGCCCCCACCTTATCTCACTGGACTTTTGAACAACTGAACTGTTTATAATTCGTAAAGGCGAGACTTCTTTTCATTCCTTGTTTTGCGAACTCAAAAAAAAATTCATTTATTTATTTTTTTTTTTTTGTGGGTGTCATTATGGGTGGGTGGGAAAAATAATTGGCAATAAATTTTTCTTTATTTTCAAATACTGTAGTATTCCCAGAGACTTCCAGGCGGGGAGGGGGATGGGGGAAGTTTGCGAAACTAGGTGGAAAAAAAGTCTTACCAAACCTTTTAAATATACTTGAAAAGTGTTTCAATTTTTAATGGGTTTTTTTTTTTATCACAATATATTTGATGTTTTAATAAATTTATATCTTAATGTCACCTTTTGTAAAAGGATGCAGTAATTCACAGATGATCTTATTCAAGCCTAAGTATGACATTCATGAATATGATGTCATTTTAATAATTTTAGGTCATTTTGGTTTCTTTTGCATATTTGTACACTGTAATTATTGTAACTGTACTCAAATTTTTAGGTATTAAAACTTGGTGAAGCACCTTGAAGAGTTTTAATTATAAGAAGCTCTACTATATACATAATTTAATCTTTATTATTATAAACATCCACATACCAATTACAAATTCAAAATGAAAGTATCTGCACAGAAACACTGCACAATGTTTTACACACTAGAGAAATACTGTAGGTACAAGATGCTATCGAAAACAGAACCCTAGTTTTAAATTTAAAGTACCAGTATTGAATGATTAACGAGCACCCAGCAATCGCATAAAGCTTAATGGATACCTGCAGTGTTCTTTGATGCTGAATTTGTAGTACAAATGTTTTTATTGCTTGAAACATTGACTTATACAATACAATTTGATTTGTGCATTTAAAGATGTATTCTCCCCTGAAACTACAATAATCTTGAAATTAACTTGCCCATTTTGTAGTAACATACAAAATTATTAACTTGAGCATTGAATTTAAAATGATAAAGATAAAATTATGGGTAAACATTTTTATTTACACTAACTTCTATGTTCAAGTTGATAATGTTTATGTTACTTCAAAATGAGCAAGTTAATTTCAAAAATTGTTTTGGTATTTCCATGAGACAATACACATTTAAAAGGATGCATTGAGTAATCAACATCCAATGATACACAAATTAAATTTTCGATAATTTACGAAGTATTTTTGAGAATTCTTAATTTATGTGTCAGATATTTAAAAGTCATGTGCAAAAAGTAAGGTGAGACCTTTTTTATTCCTTGTTTCGCGTACTTATTTTTTTAAAGGTCATCGGAGGAGGGCAGAATAACAATAAAAATGAAATTTAGTTTTCTTATTTAGCAAATAGTTTTGCCAAAAACATCCAGATGGAGGAGAAAATAAAAATAAAAATTTTATTGGTGAATGCTTCAAATTGATATAATTAGGAAGAAATACACATATCTTATCTTTGGATATTTCAAGGCTGTGGAGGATATAATAAAAAAAAAAGCTTTTATTTTTTTTCTGAAATTTCCACTTTCTGGTGGCGGCAAGTGTGCTAATTGGCCAAAAATAAAATGTTATCTTTAATCAAAATCATCAATATTTGCAGTACAAAGAGTACAAAACACACACTTTGGGGTGGGGGGAAGGGATTGAAAGTAAAGGCATAAGTACTCTTTTCATGAAAAGATAAAATGTTGATCTCAAAAAGACACAAATCAACATTTTTTTGCGTACTCTTTCAGGGGGAGGTAGGGGGTCACAGAAAAAGTATGTTTTGTACTCTTTTGAAAATGTTGAAAATCATGGATGACCCCTAAACAAGTATAAAAAAGTCTCACCTAAATAACTGTATTTATGCTGCCAGGAACGTATTATCTTGTTCTGATTTTCCATTGAAAGCTAATAAAATATGCAAAAGTAAAGGCTTAATCAATTTCAGATTTATCAGCTGTACACAGACATTATAATGGACTGTATATTTATAACATCAGTACTGTACCTGTAATGAAAATTGTTGTATTACATATAGATTGTTGACACTTTTAGAAAAAGAAAATGAAACTCTTGGAAAACATTTTGTTGTCAATTGCGAGTTCAGCTTTTAAAAGCCACAGCAATTTAAATCATGCTCTTATAGTTTCTAACTGGTTTCTTGTTTTTGTTTTATAGTGTGACCAAGCAAAAGAAGGTTTAGTGCAAAACAATTCTCAAATGGATGAATATTGTAAAGATAAAGGTTTCATTGGATGGTTTGAAACATCAGCTAAAGAAAACATCAACATAGATGAAGCTGCAAGGTTTTTAGTTACATCAGTAAGTGAATCTGCCTTTGCATCCAATTAAACCTAGAATGGTGTCAGTGATAGTGCAATAAATTGTATCAACAGTAATGTGATGGTAATACTAAAATGGCACTAGGGATGGTGCTAGAGTGGTAGTACTGATGATGGTGCTAGAGCTGATGCCAAGAGTATGGCATTAGGGATTGTGCTAGAGTGGTAGCACTGATATGATGGTGCTAGAGCTGATGCCAAAAGTATGGCACTAAGGATTGTGCTAGAGTGGTAGTACTAATGATGGTGCTAGAGCTAATGCCAGGAATATGGTAAGGCGAGAGGAGGGTGGGAAAAAATCAAAATAAAATTTTGTTTCCTTATTTAGCAAATAGTTCTGCCAAAAACATACGGACAAAAGAGAAAATAAAAATAAATTTTATTGGTGAATGTAAGTCTAGTAATTGGATGGTTAAATGCTTTAACTTTACATACTTGGCAAGAAATAAACATGAAATGAAATTACTTATTTTTTTAGACTTCAGGGCAGAATAATAAAAATTGAAAAAAACAATTATTTTTTTCCCATGTTTTCCATTTTTTCTTGGCGGTAGGTATTCTAATTGCCAAAAAATAAAATTTTATTTTTATCTGATATCATCATAATTGGCAGGCGAGGGGTTTGCTAAACCAGGTAAAAAATAAGTCTTGTCTAAAAAAGATGGCACTTTTCACAGGGATAGTACTTGGGATATTGCTAGATCTGATAAGGTAATTTTTTTCCCATCCCCATTAATAATTTGGTACATGATGTAATGCATTCATTGTGTCTTGTTTTCAGATTCTTACAAATGATAAAGAGAATCCTGTAGATAGAGATCAAGACAAAGACAAGATTGACCTTGATGCTCATGATGCAGGAGAATCAGAAGGAAAGGGATCGTGTTGTTAACTACATATTAACACTCTATCATCTGAACCCATTCCTTCTCATTCTGTATGCGAGGAGTCACAAGACAGCAATACTCAATTTGACATTTTAACTTCATCAAAACAGGATAGAATCCAGATCTTTTTGATTCAAACTTTCAACACGATATGTGTTGATGTCAAACAAATAATATATTTAAATTCAAAAATAATTAATCAATATAAAGTTAGAAACAGCTAAATAATTAAGCAAGATCAATTTAATAATTTAGTTTTCGAACTGTTGTAAATAATTTAAATTTCTTAAATTTTCTTTGAGGATTTTTATAATTTATTTGGCAACTAAATTCAAACAATTTATCGTTCTTTCTTGTTTGAAATAGTTTACTGTTTGTTTTTGTGGTAACAAAAAGTCATGTTTATATTTTCATTTATTATTACACTATTGTATTTTATTGCATTTGATACAAAGTTATTGTGGCTGATAAAATTTGACAATCTATTTCTATAAAATGTTTTCTTAAAATAGCAACCTTTTGTTTGTAAACTATGTAACTATCCACTATTCGATTTATAGGGAATCATAATAAAAACCTTTATAATGTTTCTCTTACCTTTACCATGTTTGTAATAATAATAATAGTTGGATTTGTAGAGCGCATCATGCGAAAAAGCCTCTATGCTTGTATTTTGTGTTTATGTTGTAAATAGCTTACCAATGAAGCTATTACACAGTATCGGTTCCTGTTCCTTGTCGTTTACATTCTATGGACATAAAATGTTAAATACAGTACAAAGAACCTCCATAGTTACCGTAAGTATTTGAAATTAATGAAGGTTTATTTTACTTGGTAGTAACACCAGTATTATTACACATTCAGATATTTTTTATGGAAATCAAATCATGAATACTTAACTCTTAAATATTGTAGGATTGATGTTTTGCTCTAACGTGTTAATATTGTACCGAATGCTCTTATATATCAGTAAAACTACTGTATCCTCTAGCGAATATCAGCAATAGAGTATTATTAGACTACTTCTGTATATTCAAAGCATTACTTAAATAAAGAAAACTGAAAGAAAAAAGGACAAGGTAATATAATTGTTTGATCAAAGGCTGATCCATATGAATTTGTATTATTTTGCTATACAAAATCTTTACCATAATTGTGCACAAATTAGTGTAAAATTTAAGAATATTTGGAAGGCATTGCAAATGAACTACTGTATAATCATACAATAGTCTTTCAAGAAAATATAGGTATTTCTAATTACAATTTGATTGGGCAATCATACATGTAAATAAAATTTATTATAAAAACATTGCCTAACATTTTCTGTTGATTTTGTATTCTGGCAACAGATTCTCAAATATGATGCAGAGAATGGATTTAAAATTGTCATTTGTTTATTGTTTGTGAACAAATATAGCATTGGTATCATTGGATTGTAATCCAGTTCCTTTGCATTGTGCTGCAGAAGCAAGTTTTTGGCACATTCTCTACCATCTTATTATTTCCTGCTAGCGCTCCACCCCCCTCAATTTATCATCAAGCCCTCCACAATACCCCTAGATTTCCATGTATCAAATGAAAGGGTAAAAAAATCGCTTTAAATCTTTCTTTCTGAAATGAATGCGTGCTATATTAGAAAACCAGATCGTTTTTAATTTGTTATGTAATATACTTATATAGTGGATTCCAATAATGCCTCAAAAGCAGACACAAACATGAGTCAATGACGTGTCGCGCAACTGACCAGCGTATTGTTGAGGGAGTGCTCACACAGAGTACAGACAAATCTGTAAGCCAGTGTAGAGTGTGCCAGTGTGTACTTTAAGGTATACTCTTTGAGCTAATAAACTTTTAAAATCTGATATCTGATTTTGCTTACTTTGTGTGCTTACGTTGTGTGTACTTAAAACGAAAACCATAAGGTTTTTTGTAGGAAAAGGCCAGCAAGTCATTGTAAGTTAGAAAAGCAATGTACAGTACTAATTAAAGCCAGGCTCCAGAGGAAATAAACATTTTTGTTGTTTTGTTTTCTAAGATACAAAAAAAGTGTTTGACAAACAGAGTAGGTAAACGTTTCCCACAAAAGTAACCAGTTTTTGTTTTTGATCTGAATGTTTTACTCTATTTTAAAACCAAGTCCAACTTCTTAAAATTTAGATTGCAATTTTTACCAGACGTTTATTTTTTTAATTGGAAAAGAAGACATTGTTCAACAATAATGAAAAACTCTTTTTTAACAACAAAGTATTTAATAGTTCTTCACTTTTAGACCTCAAAAGTGAATGCACTAATACTGTACTGTACTACATCAAGCATGTAAATCCCCCCAAAAGTTCCATATACACACTACAGTACACTATAAAACTAATGTACATGTAATGTATAACTGTAAAGTATCATAATCGCTTTAAGTGCATAGTATTTACCTTGAAGAACCTTTTATTTGCCACTGATCAAATATTAGCAACCCTACACTTAACAATTTCCACATTTTTTTATATAAATACATGGCCAACTTTTCTTGCAACTTGTTAAAAAATCTTTTAACTTTTTTGAGGTACAGTAATTTCAAACCTTAACCAGTTACATAGGTAAAGGTACTAAAACAGCAGAACATAAATACTGTACAGTAATTTAATCTGCATCCACCATCACTAACCTCATTTATGGCCAGCCATATACTGTACTGTTTTAGAAAATGTACCAGAAAATTGTACTGTGTTAAAATTTACAATTCTCATAGCATTTAATCCAAGCACAGAAACCATACACAACTGAAACATGGTATACACTACATTAAAGATACAGTATACCCTCTGGTGTTGAGTTTTTTAAAAAAATGTTTAGATTTTTTTTTTTTGAGTATTTAACTAATACCCAATCAACACTCTCAAATGACATGCCTAAATATGGTAGTTAATGGTAACATCAGATCATGACCATATATAGGCACATCATGTCTATATATGGGCATACAACAGTTCTTTGCCAAATAACATTTGATAATCTGGACAAAGCGTACTTTACTAGCCTTCAATGAAATATTAGAATGTGAAAGGATTTTCTCTAAATTAACAGATGCATAAATACTGTTCCTAAAGGATTTTCATCATAAAGAAATCAGTTAAAAATTAAATGTTTTTGCCTCATAGGAAGTTGATAGCTTGGGCGAGACTTTTATACCTTGTTTAGTGAATCTGCCGACTGCCAATAATGATAATTTGAAAATAAATAAAATTTTATTTTTGGCCAATTAGCGCACCCGCCGCCACGAAAAAATTGAAATTTCAGAAAAAAATAAAAGTTTTCTTTATTTTTATTACACCCACCGCTGCCTTAAAATAAACGTGTATATTTCTTTAAAAAAATAAGTTTGTGAAGCAAGGAATAAAAATCTCGCCTAATAAGCTATTTAAGTTTTTTATTTAATTTTTAGGTGTTTCCCAATTTTCCTAGACAGTATACACTGTTTTCTATAATTAAATTATTATAATGGGTACAAAATAAAAGACTCATATACAGTATTTTTTACAGGATTTTCAGCAGACAAGAGGAAAATAGACATTAATCATAGTCATCTAATAATCATAGTGTGAAAAAGATTGACAATCTTTCTATCACCTTTACATATGAAATGTTTATGTACCTTACTGGTAATGTTTGTGTAAATGAAATACCTTTACATTAAAATATATCCAACACTCAGAAATGAACAACTGGGGAACATTGCAGGTGCAACATAGATCAAAAACATTAGTTTTTAAGTAAAGGAAATATTGAACGTCAGTGCAACATTCCCCCTCCTCTACCCAATCTTTCCCTGCCATTTTTCACATCTTGTATCTTGAAACACCACTAGTATTCATTCTTCATAGAATATGTGAATGCATGTCAAAATTTCAAAACATTGTTTACTGATTGAGTTTCAACTTGGACCTAATGTATGCAGAATTAATGGTATTACATTGTTTACCTATTTGAGGCTTGCCATTCCAAAACCTGCATACCATCGTTAATTGTTAAACTGAGTACAGTAATTAGCATAAGAATGTGGCAGTATTGTATACTTTTAGTACAAAGACATAATAGATTTACTCATAACTTTGGCAATAGTATTGTATACTTTAGTACATAGAATCCATAATACTTTTACTCATAACTTTGGCAATAGTAAGTCGATTTCAGTAAATGACCCATCATTTTTAAGCTTACAATGTGGAGAATACGACTACATATTAAAAAGTCAATTTTCATTTTTTGGTCACTGGTTTTGGAATGGCAAGCCTCAATGGCTTGACTTAGGCTAGATCAATGTCAATTTTTTATTTTAAATGTAATAATGTACATATTTACTTTTGGCTGGATATAAGTCCAGTAATTGTGCAGATGTGAATGTGATACATCATCATTTCATTGTTGAAACTCTAGTACATACAATGTCTAAAATATACAGTCTTTTCAAGTCTAAAATATACAGACTTCATCAGAGTTCACTGTCAACTTCTTTCTTACAAGTTACTGTAGTCCAAACGTGTCCCTCTAACAAGCGATGATCAGAACTTTCTTACAAGTTACTGTAGTCCAAACGTGTCCCTCTAACAAGCAATGATCAGAAATTTGAGAACAGGGGAAGCGGGGGTCACAATTTGACCAAATCTACATTAGCAATAACAGTCAAAATTCCCCTCTGTTCTCGACACTGTCCAAGTATGAATAGACAATTACAATACACTATCTACTTCTTGGATGGAACTTGGTATTTTTGTTTCTGGAACTTTGTCATTGGCTTACCCCCTTTATTACATGTACCTACACCTACTTTACCAGTTGACTCGTCAGGAGATGCAAATATACTTTTCTTGACATACCCTTTTTTGTTTTTGTTGAATGCCTGCAAAATTGCAAAATAAAAGAATAGTATTTTATTTTAATGAATAAACCACTGAATCAATTACTAATGTATAATACATGACACGTATGCCTTAAATTCAGAAATCTGAGAAGGTCAGTGTGGGTGTAGCTTATGATGCTTGCCATAAATCCCAAGGTCATTTATTCAAATCTTTCTCAATTGTTTCCTAATCAAAGTGTCTATAGATTTCATCCTGTTCTTCTCCCAGGTTTTTGCTGTAGGATGTGTACTCTCTCTTTTTTTTTTTTCGTTTTTATTTATTGATTTTTATTTTTTATTTCATTTTTATTATTTTTATTTTATTTTTGACTTAGAACTACGAGCTAATGAAGGTGGTGGAATTTCTATTACATTTTACTTTCATCTTAAATGCTAGAAACAGGATGAACTACACAAAACAAACATAATACAAGGCTAAGGGGTGGGTTTTTTTTTTTATGTGTAATCTCGTAACTTGACGGAATTGAACCCAGGATCCTTGGGATTGGAAGGTAATGATCTTAACTACCAAGCTACGGCTGTACTCAATACACAAGCTTTTAAAATAATCAATAAATGCAGTACACATCCTGAATTCAATAATTATTGGTAGGAAAAAGCAGCGGGAACGATACCATAACATTGATAAATTGATCATAACCATTTCCAAAATGGCTCCCATCATGTTATTAATAGTACCAAATGTGTTATCTCTGATTATCACAAATGATATAAGGAAATAAAACTAACCTTGCTATTAAAGTCAAGCCAGTTGTTTTTCGACTTTTCATGAGCCTGTTCCATTTGTTTTAACCTTTCTGCCTTCTTCTGTTGTTTCCTTTTTTTGTATTCCTTTTGTTGTTCTAAGAGCTCCTTCCTGCAATTGTACAAATAATATTTATTATTATTATAATAATAGTAGTTTAGTAAAGTAGTAATAATTGTAATAAAAATATCAATAAAAACGTAAGTGAATATTAGCAGCTGTATTACCACATACATAGTTCTGAACAAAACTGCTGTTGAAATTATTGAATATATTGCTCTACTCCTTTTAAGATTGATTTGAAAAAAACCGACAGAGAGCAGTTAAACGCCATTATTTTCAGCAGTGATGTGCACTTATCTCTTATATATGAAATTAGATATATAAATAGAAAAACTAAAATCCATTACAAAAAATGAAGTGTTAAAAGTAGTCTTTCATTAAATAATGAATGTAAATAATAATTAATGAACAGAAATGAATGCAGGGAAAGTGAACAGCAAACAAAAACGCACAAGCCATTGAAGATCAGTAAGTGAAATACATATATCCCTGGTTCTTAATTAATTTCTTTGAAGGGCCAAAATATTTTTAGAATTGATGTCACGGTCCAAGGAAAATCTTTGAGTTTCAAGCAACTTGTTATACTTTATGGACAAATTTTGAGTTGCTGTGGCCAAAGCCCTGTTGTGACCGCACAGACCTTAAGGTTTTTTGGCAATTTCAATTTCTATTCTATTTTTAATTGTACTACAGCACAATATTAGGACACAAAATTCATTACAATGTTTGCACCATAAGATTGATATGATATTGTGCCAAAATAATTAGGACAATTAATTTTCCACTATTTCTTGCTTATTGATGATCTTTCATTTTTTGCTTGTGTAAAACCATCACAAAAAAATTTGGCCAACGGCAGGGGAAAAAGCCCCAGGAAGTTTTAACAATTTGAGTGATTTTGAATACTAAAGGCCTGTAATCGATCTTACAGCCTCATATTCTGTAAAAGTAACATATGATTATTTTTCCCTAATGAAAGTGTTGAGTTCTACTTTGATTGTCACTCGGACGGGAATATGTCTCAGCAACTGGTACCATCACTTAATTTCAATTAATTAATTTGTTGGAAACTGACGGTTTTAAATAGCTTACAGCTATAGTTTACAGGCCTGTATGTTGGCTGAGGCTGTTTAGGGGCCCGGCTGGGTCCAGAGGCCGAGATGCTCTGACAAAGTAGCATTTTGAGGCTGTAATGGATTTCTGCAACAACCCATAATTTGCCTTGGTTTCAAACTATCGATTGCGACCCAAGTTAGTCACCAAAATATTTTGCAGGGTTGGCGGACGTTTAATGTTGTTGGAGACTGGTAGCCGAATAGAACTTGTTATGTCTTCCTTTTTTTGTGCAAGTGTAACGTGTGCAAAGTAGTGTTTCCTAAATTGGGCATTTTTTCCACAAAGTAAAACTAGATATTATTTTTGTTTCTATCATATTGACCTCAATTCTTATGTTTGCTTCTCATCGTTTACGCCTAACAAAATACTATTACCTGCTCGGGCGTCTATACAACAACTCCCTGGTAGGACTAATCCTGTAGGAGTATTTTCAACCTAACATGAAGCTACAGGCATAATCGTAACAAAAACAGTTATACAAAGCTTGTTCAACTTAATATTTTGGCACACAATAGGTATTTTCGGTGTAATTTCACCCATCCTACAGTATATCCACCAAATACCAGGGATTTAAGGCCTACAAACTCTTAGCCAGTAAAATCTTGGGTCTACTCATAATAAAAACAAATCTATGGTAAAGTTTTTATTTTTAATCTGCTATGTAATATTTACCTAACCTAAGACTACCAATCTTTTGTGTTTGTCGAGTTCACTTTATTTAAAAAAATAAGCATTTTTTTTTTAGTTCCTCTAAATATATTTTGTATAATTTATATATTTGGCCCGCGGGCCACCTATTAAGAACCAAGGACATATATAAATAAACCTACTTCCCATTCACACTTCCAAGAAAACAATAGGACAGACTATTCCAATAACTACAACCCCCACCTAAGCAGGCTTTCAAACCATGCTATCTTTCCCCATTCCATTTTGCATTACTGTACTGTATATAGAAGTAAAATTGTTCACGTAAGTATTCATGAAATAAAAATAGACAATTAGATTTGATGCTAAATCACTTACGAGACAAGACAAAAACCTAACCTAGGGAAAGCCACAAACAAGGTGTTGTAGTAAAGAAATTGCTTACTTGGATTTTGGTTTACTGTCTGTTTCTAAACCTGCCTCTTCTGACGTCCTTTTTTCTCCTTTAGGTTCCTCGAGTTCTCTCAATTTACTTGTCTAAGTATTTGTATTAAACACATCATTACATTAGAAAAAGATTAAGGATAATCACTGGAATTTTACCTGATGATGATGATGTCATTACTTTTTTTTTTTCGTTGACCAAATGGTCATTTATTTCAATTCTTTCATTTGATAACATATACAGCAACATTATTTCTTTCAGTTTTCCTTTAGGGTAACATAAATTATAAATACTTATTTGACTTCTTTTTTTTTTTAACATACCACATTATACAAAAGATTCATTCACAGGGAACCAGTCAATTCGAGCGGATGCCACTTCGAGCGAAGGCCAATTCGAGCGGATTCGAGCGAATTCGAGCGGATGCTAGTTTGAGCGGAAGAAGATCCGCTTGTGCGAAACAACAACCTGTGCGAGTTATATACAAATTACTTCAAAATTTCCTATTTTTGAGCTAAAAATTTGACATTTTCAAAGGGAAAGAGGGAACACAACAGTTCCAGAATAGATAAGTGAGTAGCAACTCAATTACAAATATAATTTGAGCTAAAAATTTGACATTTTCAAAGGGGAAGGGGGCACACAACAGTTCCAGAATAGATAAGTGAGTAGCATAACTCAATTACAAATATAATTTGCTTTTTTAAATAGAGAACCCCAACCAGTGACGGATCTGGGGAAGGGGGGGGTGGTGAATAGGGTGGCTAATGGTCACTCGTCTTGTGTGTGTGCTTCTCGTGCACTCTAGTAAAACATACACTTTCTTCTTTTTTAAGCTGAGAAGTGCACAATTCTATTATAGTTTTAACTTGTTAGCGGCCATCTTGGTAGTCGGAGTTGCCAAGACTGTAATTCAAACATGGAGTAATTATCAAAAAGTACTAAAAACCTTTCAGGACCTTAGTAATCAGAGCATTTTTTGCATTTAAAACAAACAAATACAAGAATACGGCGACGATAAATTCGCCCTTGTTATAGTTCGCACTAAATGCATCCGCTCGAACTGGCATCCGCTCAAACTGGCATCCGCTCGAACTGACATCCGCTCGAATTGACTGGCATCCCATTCACATACACAATTTGTTTTTTACATTTTTTTTTTTTCAAAGAACTTTGCATACCTTGCGATAGATTTAGATTTACTTAAGCAAGGGAAAACAAAAAACTGGTTTTAATTAACAATGTACTGTTCACCTTTACAAATTTTAAACCTTGATTTTACAAATATTAGCTAAATTAATCCATTCATATGTTTATATTACTTTTGCCTTCTTTCTTATAAGCTCGTAATACAATCCAGTTATTGATACATTTACAGTAATAAACACATGAAAGTAACTATGGTATGGGGATATACCTACACTGGTGTTGATTAAAGATGAAAATAAATATATGAGAAAAACCTATGTCCCCATCGGGATTCGAACCCAAGACTTTCCAATTACCGTTCGGACACTCTCTACAAACTGAGCTATGAGGTCAACTGGTATACACCCTTGGGTTTTCCCATTATGACACGTTTTTTTTTTCCACTTGGCCTCATAGCTCAGTTGGTAGAGTATCCGAACATTAATCGGAAGGTTTTGGTTCGAATCGCGATGGGGACATATGTTTTTCTCACATATTTACTATCATCAGTAATAAAACAATATGCCAATAATCTTCAGTAATGCCATGAAGGGGTAACAGGTTAGCCAAAATTTGAATACAGTAGTATCCCTTTTCCACATTAGATAACAATAGATATAAACTTGCTTGCTTTGACTAGATGGATGTTTTGTTGTAAAACTTATTCTGATGATGACTATGATGATCAATATGATGTTGATTATACTGTAAACCACCATCAAAACAAAAAGTGGAAAAATTTGATGAGTGCCTATCAAATGCTGTACTTTGTAGTAGTAAATTGTAAACTAAATATTTAAAAAATTATAAAATCATCAAAATAATATACAAACATACCTTTACAATTTCTGAATTTCCATATCCATCGAATGTGACAGTTACAGTTCCATTGTCGTGAATTTCATCAATAGTTGAAGGATATAACCTGGAAAAAAACAAACACTCTATTTTTTATTTGGATTAAACCATATTGTGTAATGGAGTTAAGTACTTGGGCCTAGCCTTCAAAATATTACAATACTTCATGTTTCACATACATACAGTACATATATTTTACATTATTTTTTGAAGAACTGAATGCAAGGTCAACTTTGTATACTAATTTAATAATATCAAAGAGTATAGATTTGCCAGAGGTCTGACTCTCTGGATTTCGTTGAAACGCAGTCCTATCGCAAACAGTAACTAGAGGGCGCGATTCAAAAGAAACTTAAAAGGCATTTGTATTGAATGCTTGTTGCGTCTATAGAATGCATGTTCGAGATTTTACGAATTCTAATAGGCGCTCCTATTTCGTGGTAATACTTTTTTTTAAATTTCATTGATTGCATGCAAAAATCAGGGCAGTTGGACCTCTGGCATTTCTATAATCTTTGATAATACTCACAGTCCATCTTCTTCATACATAGCCAGGCATCTATCTCCTATATTCCATTTCTGTAGCGGTATAACAGAGTCCTCCTCTTGCGTGACCTCAGGAGCAGCCTTGATTAGATCTAATGTCAAATCTATCACTTCCTGGAATAAAAGAAAAATAACTCTGTTAAATTCAGCTCTGTACTTAAAATATGCTTTAAAAAGCAAAAACAAAACAAAAAATGCAAAAATCTTGAATATTTAAATAGCTTATTTAAAGAATCAAATGAGCTGTTAACTTCCAACTAGAAACAGATGAAATTGTTTTCACTGACTCACAGCCATTTTACTATACATTTTTAATTGATTACAAACAGATTTAAGGGTCTCGGGAAATGTATTACTGAACTGTCTGTTAAAAGATGAGGAAAATTATTTTTTTCTCAAATTTTTAATAAATTAGGAAATTCAAATAAGGATTAAAAAAATTTTTTTTAGCTAATGACAGTAGTACATCTTTAAACAAACAATGAGGGTTTAAATTTTGGATTGAACGATTGTGTTGTATTACCTGTAAATCTTGTTTCAACTTAAGAAGTTCTTCATTATCTGCATCACTTGTTAATGCAGCTTCCACCTACAAAATGAAGGTATAATAAAAATACATTACATTAATTGTGTGCAGTCATACGTAGCCTAGTGATTCATTACAAACTTGTATTTTAAGCTTTCTCCTAACACACTGTACTGGCAGTGTTCTTAACACTAATTATATGGTACTATCTAATTAATTTATATTGATATCATATAACCAACAAAACAAGTAAATATACAGATGTTAATCAAATCATATTCAATGATTTCACGTCAACATACCCATAGCATAGGCCTATCTCCATAGGTAGGATTGCCCCTCCCCTGACGGTTTTTACCGGGCTGACCAAGCCGTCGTACCGGGCTGGGTAATAAGAGGAAAGAAAGAGGGGAGAGGGAGGGAAAGAGAAAGAAGAAGAAAAGAAAAGGAAAGAAAAAGAGAAGAGAAAAATAAAGACAAGAATAAAAAGGAAGATATCATAATGACCAGACTCCCAACACCCTGCAACCCCTTCTCCACTTCAAAAACTGTCGTAACTCCTTTGATCTATGCTGCCCGATGGCGTTACCACTGGGGGACAAGGGAAAATATCTATCTTTGAAAAATCTTGCCCACCCCTTTATAAATTCCCTTTTCATCCCCTGAAAGTGCCTAAAAGCCTCGAATTTCGCGCGCACTTCTTGTTAACATGGGCTAATTTCCTCTAAAAATTGTACATTTTAGGGAGTTTTGATCAATTTCAACGAAATTAGAATTAAAAACACCGGGGGACAAGGGGAAAATATCTATCTTTGGAAAATCTTTCCCCACCCCTTGACAAATGCATCCTCAAATGCCTAAAATTCCTTTATAAATTGCACATTTTAGGGAGTTTTCATTAATTCCGACAAAATTAGAATTAAAAACACAAAAATATTTTGCCCGCTTCGTGTGCAATTTTTATGGCTTTTTTAGGTTAATCCTTTTAAGTTATTTACAGAATAGTCCCAAACTCAAGAAAGACAAATTTAAGATAGATCGTTTTAACCTAAAAGAAGGGCCTCAATGTGTATTGATGGTGGAAGAATATGTTTGTAATAAATAAAACCATGATGAAAATGCTTATATTTAGTTTCAAACACACGTGTGTGGCCTATATTATAAATAAGATAAGCCCTATGTCGTATTGTTTTCTATATGGGGAGTGGGGTGGGTATGGGCAGTGGGTATGGTAAATTACCTGTCTCTTATACACATCTAGATGTGTATAAGAGACAGTATATATACTGTGTGTATGTATATATAAATATTTATATTATGTATAGGCCTATGTGTGTGTATATACATATACATCTAAATATGTGAGAGTGGATATATAAATGATTATATTTACTTTACATATTTAATTTGATTTAATTTTTATTATCTGTGGTTGGTCATTTCTTTTTTGCCTTTTCTTTTCTGATGTCTGTTTCTTTGTTTTTAATTTTAATTTTTTTTTTTTTGTGTACTGTATTTCTTTTGGACGATGCACCATCAAATTTGGAGGGTGCCACAGTTTAAAAAAATGTTGTTTTCCAAGTAAATTACTTATTTACTTACTATTAATATAAATAAGTACTCATCTTCATTTTCCACTAAATACTGCTGTAAGCCAATTTTGTGTTTGTTTTATTATGTTCGTGTTAAAAAATACTTTTATACCTGTAATATCCACACATTATGCCTGCTTCTGAGTATTACCCAAAGTGATACAGTACTCATCTAAACGACAAGTTAATAATAGTAAGTGGATCCGATCGTCCTGAAGACCTGATATAGGGCATAGGCCTAGCCTATTTGGGTCTGACCGTCCCTCGTCACCCACCGCTTCGTTCGGGTATTGTAGGCCTACTACCATAGCCTAGCCTAGGCTATATTCTAGTGAACATTTTCACCATTATGTATCAGATACCATTTGCGGCCCATTGACAAAAACTTGGGAAACTGATTTTAACTCATATACGTTACATATAGCAACATACCTGGTGTAACTGAGCTTTATAAGTGCTAAGGTTGCCATCGTAATCTTCTGCCATCTTGTTTTCTGATCTGCTGGGATCCGGATTTAAAGATTATGGCGCGCCTAAATTGCCAAATACATGGATACGATCCATTGTTTTATGGTACGTACGTACTGAAATACGTTAGTCCCGACGTTAGGGTAAAGTCCGTATACTAAAGGATAATTTAAGACTATAATAGACAACAAAACCACATTTAAACGGTTTACATTTATAAGCCTATTGTATGCAGGTGAAATTTGGCTCATCAGGTTAGATAGAAAAGATGGGTAACAATTTTGATACTGGCGGAAAATGATGAAGACAAATGCATAGACAACAGCATAACCAACACTTTCTTTCATCTGCACTGCACAGCTTACAGTCAATGAGTAAAAAAGGGACATCATTTTCTCACAAAATCGATATATAATTTGAATTGTTTCATTTGAAAAACTCGGGTGATCGGATTATAAAACTAGATTGTAAGCTCTATAATCATTTGTATATTTTTTTTCAATCAATAAAATCGAGTGATCATTTTTCTTCGAAGTTGACAACACCTTATAATTTGTACAGAAAATGGCTAAAATTTGAGTGTTTTTTGGTATACTAACTGTTTCTGAGAGACACAGAAAGAAAGCCCGGTACTCCTACACGTGACGGTCGTCGCGTGCACTGAGCCTACATTGAGAAAAAAATTGAGTAGTAGGCCTATGCCACGTGTTCTTTCTTCATGAATCGTTAGGCATGAAGAACGCACTTCGAATAAACAGTGTTTTAAATTTTATTTAATTGAAGGCTAGTTAGGCTATATTGTTCGATCTACCAACCTATGTCTAGCTAGGTAGGTTAGCATGCCTATTGTAGGCCAGGACCCAGTAGTATTTTTTTTAATAATTCTTTTTGGGAGTTCGTTGGAACCCCCTGAACCCCCGGACTGGATCCACCACTGTGAGGGGGATCAGAGCCTGGGGTGCGCCAGCGGGGAAAGTTTCCCCCTCCCCAACCCTGTCAGGGAGAAAAACCACAATTTGAGAGGGAAAAAAAATGTTTATGTATTTTCTACTTATTAGGAGACTCTAAAATCGAATAAAAAAGCCTTTGAAACCCCTACATTGTCATATTTTATTATTACACGGTATTGGTTTGGCTGATGGATATTTAATAAAAGAAAGAGTCAATCTGTGTCTCATTGGAAGTTGATAAATCATTTTATTCATTCAAATTAGCAGTTCTTTTAATTGATTTTATTGTTTTTTACAAAATATCAGACAAACCCACCATGCCCACCAACGCGTTTCAGACACATTAGATGATGACTCGTTATACAACCAGGATTTGAGCTACCGGAAATGTGTCCATATCGCAAAGAAAGTAAACGAGTTTTCCCCATAGAGGATGTGCGAGCGGGAAGGGTAGGTAAAAGGCTACGTAGGGTTAGGCCCGAGGCCTAGACTTCTAATGTATAATAATTGGTATCTATAATAGGTAATATATGCTATAGAATTATAATAGATGTGATTAGATACAATTGTGCAGGTAAAGTCTAGAAATTAGTGATTTCATTTGTTGATTGAATTCAAAGAGCTGCAACGGCACATCCTCCAGGCAGGACCATGCAATGCTCTGCTGGCTGGGCCCGGCGGGGATCGATTGCACAGATACAGTACGTCAGTGCAATGCCAAGACCAGTAGTAGTAGCAGGCCAGGCCTAGCATAGGCTGCCAATAATAGGGCCCAATACATATAATATCAAGCAAAAAAAAATCTTCTTTTGGAGATAATAAAGTTATTTTGATTCTGATTCTATCCTAGCCTAGAGGCCCATATAAATAATACAATTATAATACAATAAATACATACAATAATTAATAAACAAGTACCGACCAGTCAAAACTTTGGGAAATATTGATGCGGGAATAATTTTTTTTTGGTTTTTTTTTTGCCGCATCATTTATTTCAACAACTTAAAAAAAAACAATGCAATTTCGTGACTGGAAATACATTTTCTTGAAAAAACAATAAAACCAGTTTTTATAATATTTTTTTCAAATAAAAACAGTAGTCTTCCTCTTTAATAAAAAAAAAAAAAAGAAGCAATATTCTATTATAATTGTTCCGCTAAAAAAAAAGAAAAAACTGTGCTCCCTCATCACTTATTTTTAAAAAAGGGTGGTAATCTAATATTTTTTTCTATGTGCCCTTAGTCAACTGCAGACACTCTCCAATTGCTTCTCAAATCCAATTCTTGACCGACCTAGGCCTACCTATGGCCCATTTATTTGAACATCCATCCATTCCAGGTATTAATTATGAACCATCATGAACTAATGTCTGATGGTTCATAAACCTTGCCTAGCATAAGCCCATACTGTAAAGTTTTTTAATTGTGCGGAGGATACCTAAAAAACCTTCCCAAATTTTCTCGGAAAATCACTATGAAAATAAGTGCATGGAATTGTAATTGCTGCATAATTGCATTGGTTGTATATTAAGATTTGGTCAAAGCCGAATTTTCGACAAAATCTGTGCGGAAATCGGCCATTATTTTCCAAATGCACGGACGGATTTGTAGGCCAAATTTTTGTGCAGCGGATATATTCCCCGCCTTACTATACAGTCTGGGAATAGGCTGGGGGAGGGGGCGGGTGGCTAGTGGTGGTTATAGGCCAAGTTGCTTAAGGGCCGAGTCGGTTATGGGCTGAGTTGGTTAAGGACCGAGTTGGCAAGGGTCGAGCTGGTGCATGGGCCGAGTTGGTTATGGGGCAAGTTGGTAAAAGGCCGAGTTGGCAGTGGGCCAAATAGGTATGGCCCGAGTTGACTTGTACCCGTCTGGATATTTTTAAAATTATATTGATTTCATCATTAGACAATGACCTATTTTATTTTTAGGCCCTATTGCAGTAACCATAAGTAGTGTGAAGCAAAAAGAAAATGGTGAAGGCAAAAGATTTAAGCATTTATGAGGATCCAAGCACAGATGCACAGTTCATCCTTCAACCAGAGGCAGAATCTTCACTTCAAAAAGGTATATCTGTCATCAGACAAAAGACCTGGGATGTAGCAGATAGTTGTCAAGTATGTCTACATAGGCCTATTTTTTATTTTAATAATAAACATTTTTACTTTAATTTTGACGTCTTCATGTAATTATATCTATTTTTTTTACCAAATATTAATAAATGTTTTTTAAATGTTTTTTTGTTGTACTTGTGCAATATATTCAGTATAAAACACTTTTGACGATTCCCAGAGTAATATTTAGTCTACATTTTTTTGTTTTTGTATGCTATTATTCTGTCAAGTTTAAATCAAATCAGTTGTTATTTGTGGCCAATTTCCTTGTTCAGTGTAATAAGCCTTTTTGACCATTTTATCTATGATGACTTTCCACCATAGTAAACATTAATATGCATGTACTGTACATTTTTAAGATGACGTAATATATTGTTATTTACTCTGAATTGAGCACACATAACCACACATGTTTCTCTGTCCCATTTCAGGGAATTATCCAGTCAACAAAGAATGCATACAAGACAGTTGAGAATACAACAAATGGTAAAAATTGAAAATTATTGTTAAGAGCTGATAATTGAACTGAACTTAGGGATAATGCAGATCTTAATCTTCTTAAACTTGCACTCAAGACTTATTTGTTTGCCTGTCATTTTCTTCTGCATTTTCCTTTTTGTGTTTAATTGTTGTAATCTGTATTTGGTCTTTGCTTGTTTGTGAGACTGTATTTTTATAATGCATGGGGTTCCTGAATGATGACCAATTCTATGCCTGCCACTATTTTCCTAAACAATATAAATACCCATTAGTACCAGTAATCCAAAAATATTCAAAATTGTTCACCTTGTGCTCATTTAATTGACAAAAAGACCAAAATACCTGCTCTACAAACACAGGATACAAATGTTGATGACTTATTTTCAGTAGTGAAAACTTAATGCTGTGTCAGTCTAATGCTATGTTGGTGACAGAGTATATAGAGGAAGAAAGAAAGTTTATAATAATATTTTTTTAAATTAAAACATGAAATCTGTCAAACATTTTTGTGTGAATCTGTACTTCCTGAAAAAAACTCATGTACAACATACATTTTTCAGATGTTGTTGCATTTATCAAAACAGAAGAAGGGTTTTACCCACGAGCCGGCATTATAGCATTAGCTGGATTAACTGGTGTGGTACTAGGAAGAAAAGGTAAATATTTTGAAATATATTTATGGAGGAACTTTTGGTAATAAAATTATATAATAATATATTATATTATATTTATATTATTATTATTTTTTATTATATTATATTATAATTTATATGTCATTACTTTGGTGGAAGACTATGTGTATTATCATCATTATTATTGTTGTTGTTGTTGCTGTTTTTGTTGTTGTTCTTGTTGCTGCTGCTGCTGTTGTTGCTATGAATAGTCAACAAACAACTATTATACATATTAATATTGTATTATCATTATTATTAGTTAATAATTTCATTTACTACTGTATAGTATCATTGTTTTATTTTACTGTGCCCAATAATTCAAAGCTTAATAAAAGAATATTATTATGTTATTTGCCATAAAATGTATTGTTAATTATCATTCTTGATTATTTACAGGGGGAATATTTAAAAAGGCAATTTATTCTGGGGCATTAGTAACTGCAGCAGCATCAATATGCTATCCATACCAGGCAGTAAGAATAGCTGAAAAAGAATGGGATTGGATCAAATCTCATAGTACACAATTACTCAAGTCATCAGACAATCAGGTAATGTCCTCACCTCTCCCTACCTTTCTTGTTGAAAAGACACTCTCATTCATATTCTGTGACTGATCCTTTCAGTGTTTAATTTTAACAATTTACTATATGAGGCTCTCCATCCCAAAACAAACTTAGTGTCACTAAATGTTGATCTGAGCATAATTAGCATATTATTATAATTAGCATTAGCAATTAGCATAAGAATGTAGCAGTATTGTATACTTTAGTACAGAGAAGCCGTACTATGTTTACTCATAACTTTGGCAGTAGTAAGTTGATTCCAGTAAATGACCTATCATTTTTAAGCTTATAATACGGAGAATATGAATATATTAAAATGATGATTTTTTAATTTTGAGAATTGATGCTGGTTTCGGCATGGCAAGCCCTGTGTATTTATTGTAAATTTTCTAATAAGGGCATCTCTCAAATGTGCGTTGCAGGGTCATTAAATTTACTGTATTATACTCACAATTTTAAGGCCATCCCCGATATGCTCTTTTGTGATTTGCTCAGTTCATGTTCATTTGTTTTGTTTTGTATTTTGAAGAGCATATTGAATAAATCAAATCAAAATTATGAATTTGCTTCTCTTAAATGAGAGCACATTCATGTTTCATATGATTGGTATCGAATAGATATTGTTTTGTTTATTACTAATAGAAGGAGGAACCGAAAGAGGAACCATCTGAAGAACTAAAGCAAATTCCAAAAGACATTGTTCAAGTTAAGTCAGAAGAAAAATCAAGTAATGATGATACAAATGCAGATTACGGCCAATCTAAACCGGAGGATAAAGACTTATATACCACAAGAAGCTGAGACATTGCTGATTACTATTAGAAAAAAATTAAAATGCAAAATGCATTGGTGGAGAATTAAACAGATAATGAGAATTATATTATTGAAATTTTTCCGCAATTTAACCAATAGCTGTTTAATTTATAATCTAATATTTAATTTTGAATGATTTAGTGTCTATTTTGTGATTGGAGCCCTAGCTTTGTAGCTAAGATATTTGCCTTCTAATAATATGGTCTTTGGATTACTCCACAACCTAAGACAAGACTTCTTTTTGTTCTTTTGTTGTAAAAAATAAAGGGATTGCCTCTTTACAGTAAGGTATTGATATGCTCTTTGCAGTGCTAGACCCATGTTCCTAACATAATCTTCCTTAGAAGACCCCTAAAAAGTATGGAACAGTCAACCCTAATAAAAAATAAAGGCAAAACTGACATTAACAATAACATGAATAAGTTTATTTACAATGTAAAAGACTACACATGTTTGGATAATGTAGTTCCTATGAACAAAGCCATGCGCATCAGTATCTTTTAGCTAATGTCCTATATTGTTCCATTTGCAATACATGAACCGTATGGAATGATCACATAATAAAAGTTATCTTGTACTTGTTTCAAAAAATAATGTTGATTTATTGACCACACATTAATTACTGATACACAGTGTTAAGCAAAGCAATTGGAAAAATTATCTCATTATTAACTTGATAATGAGCAATTCAATTTTTTTTATTTATTGTTTGACTTCACCACAGATGGTATTAGGAAGTAATGTTAAAGCCACGCTCCAGAGGCTCTTAGAAAAACTGATTTTTCTAAGACACAAAAAGCATATTTGACGAAAAATTCAACAGATTTTTGAACATTTAAAAACTGGTGGGAAAAGGTAAATAGAGGGTGGTTATGCCCCTTTTCCCCAAGTTTTTTTAATATTCTAAAATCTTTCTAATTAACCGCTCCCGAGTTCGTAATCAAATATGCTTTTTGTGTCTTAGAAAAATGAGTTTTACAACATATGGTCATTTTTTTTCCTCCGGAGCATGGCTTTTAAATGCAGATCTCTATTCATTACATACATTACACACATACATCTTATTGTAGTAAGGACAGTAATAATGTTTTTATCTCATCTCTTTTGAAAGGGGCAGATCCAGAATATTTTTGCCGGAGGTGCGAGTTGCCAATCAAAGTTATAGAACACCTATATGGGCCAATGTTTTTGGGTGTACCCTTACCTATCGTAGAGTCCAGTGGGCTGGCTTAGAGATGTTTTGGCTGCTGCCAGAGAGCGTACCTTTCGCAATATTAATTATAGGTACAATGGGGGTGATGTATGATGGTATCATGTTATGTGCCTTTCAGTGACACTGGTTGCTAATTTAATATGTTTGGCTTCTTATAGCCAAATAGTTTAAAATCCAATTCATATATTTCCCACAAGCGTTGCAATATACTCGAGTCTAATTTTCCATAATAATTATCAAATTCTTGTGTACTATTTGTTGGGTGACTGTTAGCTCTTGCTGGATATGAAACCTTATCATCGACATTTAAAGATTTCAGGATGTATTTTGCATCATCGCTGATTGTTTCTAGTTTGCCAATGAAGTCATACTCAACTTTACAAGGTGAACAAAGTCTATATATCTCTTCCCAGTGGTCATCAAATCCTCTATATTGACTAGGGTCTGCAAGGTACTGGGCGAATTCAGTCCATGTAATTCCTTCGCCCGTCTTCAGATCATGTTCAGATGGGTTCTTTCGATATTTTTTCATAATACGTTTGGCGAATATATGAAAATATGTCTCTTTCTTGTACATTGCGGTGTCCTGATACTTGTTTTTGTAAGCTGAGAGGATTCGTACGAACGGATTTCTAGCGAACATGAATTTTTTATATGAACGAAGCATTTCATCTCTCTCTGTCGTACTGTAACCAACGAGTCGTTTCATTCCGTTTTTGAAATGAGCTTCTTTCGATGTAATTTCTTCAATTGATTTTCTGTGACCACTGATGACCATCAGGACTCGTTTCCAATTGCTACAAGCCACTTTTGGTACAAAACAGTATAATACTTTTGTTGATTCGTGTACATATATATGTCGCAGAGTATCATGTGAAATATCTCCTGATTGCAATTTTGGATTCTTTTGACAGACTTCGTTCAGTGTATCCTTTCGTAATTTCTGTACTTCAGACTGTTCCATCATAAATGTATCTTGGGTATCTTTTCGTGAATTCTGTACTTGAGGCTGTTCCATCATAAATTTATCTTTCTATATAAAGAAAAATATTGAATTTAAATATAACTTAACTTTGAAATAATGTACGTAAAGATTACCGTTTCCAAGGAACTAAAAAAAATGTAATACCATTTCCAAAATTGTATTTTATAGTCTGCATTCTGTATTTTTAATCTTTTTTAATTGAAAAGATATTTTAAATTTACCCTTTGAATTTTGTTTTCATTCTTATTATCAGGTATAACCATTTGCTTCGTTTTTGTAAATCTTCTATAAACTATCTTCTCAGCATCGTCTTGTTCCCATGGAAATGTATTTGCTGTTTGAATATTTGGTGCATTCAAATTAATTTCTTCTAAAAAATTGATTGAAAAAAAAAACACGATTATTACAATATAAAAGAAATGACAGCAGCACTTTAAGACTAACCTGTAAAATTTAATCTCTAGCTTTCGTCCACACAATGGACTTCAAATTCGAATTCAAATTAATTATGTATTATATTAATATGTAAGGTATAAAACCATAGAAACTCTCGATGCGCGCATGAAGAACGTAACTATAGGGGCGATATTATATTATATAGTCGTAAAATTTTAGGGAACCCACTATTGCATTCTCTTGAAGGGAAACAGTCTTTTGCAGAATCCCACAAATTTTCGATGATAAAATAATAAATAGGCCATAATTATTATCATCTTCGTTGTTACTCTCATTTATCCTGGAGCATGTTAGCTTCTTAATTTTTTATGGCTATGTACTTTACCTAAGTCCAGTAGCATTTAGTTATTGAATGAATTTATTGCAATCGTAAAAAAAAATACATAGGCCTATTGATGTTCAACAAAAATAGTTTCAAACTTAAAAAAACTAACATACAAAATACATACAAAACAATTTTAAACATTGTATTGTTTACCATCTTATTTTCTATTAGTGGTCCCACCTTCTTTTTTTTTCGATTGCACACCTCTTTCTGGACAGTGCCTTTCATTAGGCCCCATTTGTAAGCATATGGCTTCGGGTAAACTTAAACGAGCAGTATGTTTTCTCACCTTCAAAAATTGCAGAAGTTGAAATTATTATGAACATACAGTAGACAACAAAAACAGCAAAACAACCAACTAGAAATTGAGGGCTGTATATTCTTCGTGTCTGTATATTCAGCATCGAACACGAGATGTTCTATTGAAAAAAATATGGTAAATTTATCTCTTGTGTATGTACTGTAGTATCATAACAACCATCAAGATTAAATTATTAATAATAATTATATTGGATGCAACTCTTATTGTATTCACACAACATGATTTATTTTTATTTATATTTTTGCCCGTGTTCGTTTAATAATAACAATAATAATTATAATAAATCACAATATTAATAATAAGTATAATAACATTAAGAAAGGAATATTACTAAGAAAGTGGAAATAACTATCAGGGTATGCTGTCAGTAATCAGTGGCCTCTATCAGAATCTAATTCAGGCTATTCAAATTAAAAACGGCATTAAAGTTATGTGCTATTAGTATTACAGTGCTACTATGTTGCTATTTAGGTGTGTCCATACACACAATTATATCACAAACAGAATAATCTACAAGTCTTGGAACGTAACCACAGTGCGCTGTTTTCATGGGGTTCTGTCCAGTCTCCTACAGTACTGGCATGAAAATCTATGAAAACTTGTAGCAGTCAAGCTTACCGTCATTTAGGCCTCAGGAATTGTGTGTGCGAAATATTTGCTTTGGTACTAACGTGGAAGTTGTACCAGATAATGAAAAGACGAGACTTACCTGTTCGAAGTTCGATCTTGATCTAGGCCTAAGCCTAGACATTAGAGCTGCCATCATTGCCTTAATATTTTTATTTTCTGCAATCGATTCAGCAACCAGGTTTTCAATCCTGGTGGTAGTTTTCACATTATTTCGTCTCTATAGTTCGGCTCAGAGAGTGTTGTATGAGTGTTTTTGCCAACTACACCTCGTTCTTTTAAAAGAACCATTGAAGCAAATCTGTACAACCAAAAGCCACAATGGATTGAATTGAATAGAAGTGGCATCACACTATTTTTTTACGATTAATACTTGGGTGCAGGGGTAATTGCAACAGCTCACAACCGGTAATCACCAGGGCCGGTAGGCGGACGTAATGCACAGGTCAGTCCAGTAATATGATAAGCTGCCCATTCGTCCTCATAAGGAACTCCGAAAAGTGCCCCATTCAGGTTATCGTGATATATTATTTAGAAATACTTGTTCTCTTCAGGGGAATGATGAAGAAATGAAGTTAGAAATATTTAATCACGGTGACTTTTATCACTATTGCGAAGTTTGCTTCATACTTATGTCAAATTTCCTGCGAACCCTGTGGTTTATATACAATAGTGCATCCTGCTAAAGTCAGGCGCTCGTAGTGAGTGCTAACAATAATTGTTGTAATATTCATGACGCAATCTAGTTTCTGCAACCGATCGTGTACAAAGGCCTAATACTGATTCATGAATTCGACATCAATAAAAAGTAGAACAACATGCAAATGTAACATTTAGAGAAGAAACTAAAAGTATGGGCGTGTCAGTCTAATATTTCTGAATTGATAGCTATATCGCATCCGCATATATTGAAGCGATAACATTTAGCACTGTGATTTGCATGCCGGGCCTAGGACCTGTATTTTGCATATTTAGATTTCAATAGAAAATTGAAATTATTTTCTTCGTCAATAACAGACGCATACTCAAAACGCAGAACACCTTGCAAATGTAACTTTTAGAGAAGAAACTAAAGTAAATGGGCGTGTCAGTGAGTCTAATTATGAATTGACCCCGTAGCTTTCTAATCCGCATGTATTAAGCAGCCAAAACTTCAACGACAAATTTTAGTAGGCCTACCGTTATTTGATTGTGGTGCATTGTATTTGCATATTTAGATTTTAATCGAAAATTGATTGGAACAGGAATTTTCTTCGTCAATAAAAGACGCATACTCTCTTCCCGGGGGCCCTCTTGTTTCCCTTGTATTGTCTTAGATCAACGTCTGCCTATTGACATGGGTGCTGGTGGAGGAGGGAAGAGATAGAAAGATGAGGGAAATACTGGTAGGTGATGTGCTTATTTAATGTGATGTTCAACTACTCGAGTTTTTTAAATGCAAAACACCTCATATAATTCATATAATTTATAATTGTACGATAATTGTACAACTTAAACTGAGATTTGTCTAATGCTGCACCAAAATATAATTTATATCTATAGAAACAACCTTGCCGACCCCTTTCAGTCGGCCTACAGACGTTCCCATAGTACAGAAACTGCACTAATCTGTGTGCAAAATGATATTCTTAGGGCTATTGATAACAAACATGCAGTTTTTATGCTATTGTTAGACCTGTCTGCCGCTTTCGATACGGTGGACCATGATATTCTTTTGAAGCGCCTTGATGTCAATTTTGATGGCACTGTAAAGAATTGGTTCCATTCTTATATTAGTAATAGATCTTGCAGGGTTCGTGTTAGGGATGCCTTGTCTGATGAAGTTCGTGTTAATTTCGGAGTCCCTCAGGGCTCTGTTATTGGTCCTCAGCTTTTCTCTTTGTACATTCATTGCGTTGGTGACATTATCCGTCGGCATTCAATTTTGTATCATATCTATGCTGACGATGTTCAGCTGTACCTATCTTTTAACCCAAACACCCCTGGTGACGCTGCTTGCTGTTTATTCAGATTGTCTAAATGCGTCACCGATTTACAATCCTGGTTGATCCATAATAAACTGAAATTTAACAGTGGCAAAACTGAATTCTTCATTGCTTCTTCAAATTATCATTATAAAATCCTCAATAATAATGTCTTCCATTTTGACGGTAACATTATTAGACACTCACCAACTATCAGAAATCTCGGGGTTGTTTTCGACCATGAAATGAATATGACTGCTCATATAACACACCTTTCTCGGTCCATAAATTGGCAGATTCGTTGTTTGTCCCGCATCCGCAAATTTCTTGATTTTGAAACCTGTCATAATGTTGTTCGTGCCCTATTATTCTCCAGGCTTGACTACTGTAATTCACTACTCTATGGTATCAGTAAATATAATTTAAGTCGTATTCAGAAACTTCAAAATAAGTGTGCTCGCCTTGTATGTTGCAGACCCAAATATTGTCACATCACTCCTCTTCTTAATCATCTCCACTGGCTTCCAGTGTCACAGAGAATCCTGTTCCGCATATTAGTTCTGACATTTAATACACTGCAGTCCTCCAAT